ATATAAGCATAAGCAAATGCATAAGGAAATGGACCAATCAATTTCCTTATGCTTATGCGTTATGCTTTATGCAAAAGTCTGTGCTCCGGCCATTACAGTTTCAAATAAATCTCGAATAATTGAGAAATCGTTGAAACTACTTTAACAATGTGACAGTATGACGTTTTCTAAAAATACACTTTTTATTTAAGTTTTAAATAAATATATATATTTTCCATAATTAATTACATTATGTTACGCCGTAATAAAAAAAATAAAACAAATTTAATAAGACATAAAATATAAGTAAAAATGTAAAATAATATATAAATATTCAAACGTGATTATTATATCAAAATAAAAAGAAACAACGTTTAATCTCGATAAGATTATTTCTACAACACACAGTGATAAAGTTTTCTCTTTTTATCAGGTTAGTGTGATAGCACCGTCGTGGTTAAAAATAAAATGTAAATTTACATACAAATGTTTTCGCCAAAATGTATTACGATTCATATGTCGGAATGTATATACGAGCCTTGGTTATATTCCCAACCGATTACATACACAGTTTAATCTGCAGTTTCTTTATGGTCTAATGCGACCTTTGCATCCGCTCGGTATTATTATGTAATCATTTTATCAGCAAGAGTGTTTCTGCTAATTGTATGCTTCAGATGTATCATCAACAAATTATTATTATTGACGATACATAAATATTTTTATAGGTTAAAAGAATCCTCGTAGATATCGTTGCGAATCCTCATAGCTATCAATAATCTGTCAGTAAAATAAATTAAACAATATAAATGTTCATATTATAAGCAATATTAACGCATAAATGCGGTCAATATTACATATTTTAATATATTAATACGTCAGACTATTTTCGTTATTTAACGCTAGTTCCCAGACAACACACATATCTTAAATCATCTGAAAGACGTCTAAAAAACATGCGTGTGTTTGGGAACTAGCGTTAAATAGCGAAAATAGTCTGACGTATTAATATATTAAAATATGTAATATTGATCACATTTATGCGTTAATTCTGCTTATAATATGAACATTTATACTGTTTAATTTATTTTACTGATAGACTACTGGCAACGATATCTGCGAGGATTCTTCAGAAAATTTTTAAATATATGCGTGTTGTTTGAGTTGCTATGCATTTTTTTATATTGATTTATGTTTTTTATATTAAGCGGAAAAACACAATTAATTAAACACAAAAACGCAATTATTTTTAAGACGCATTATTCCACGTTTTATATACAATAAATTATTACATATTTTGCCATTTTTAATAAATTCCTGAAAAATTTGAAGATAAAACGTTATCACGGAAAATTTATGTAGTACCTTCTTTTGCTAAAACTAGGCACGTTAGTGGAACGCATTCAATGCGCATGTACGGAAAATCCGGTTTGTGTGTTTAACAACACTGACACGTGCCCAAGTTGTTGCTTTCGTTTGTTACTTGCGAAAAGCAAACAGTCGTGGCCGTAACGCCAACCAACGTATACGTGACAGTGTTTGGATGTGGGGGGGTTTATGAATCTCACTCGACTTTCTTCGGTCATCCCTACCACACTGCAATCGCGTCGATGTTGCAATGTTGCCGTGAGCGCAGCGGAAAGTCCAAGGAGCTGTGGCACAGTGTGACATTTCTGCATAGTTCGCACAAATTAAAATACCGCGACTTGTCGCAAAATTTCGCGCGTTGCACGTATGCGCTCGCGCGTGCGCGTGATTCTGCACATAACACCCGCTTGCGCTCGCGCGTCCGACACGAATGTTCCTGCCGTCGTCGCTGCTACTGCATTGTAATCCCGAAATAGGATCAAGGATAACGACGTCGTAGATTTTTTTCGCGCTGCGGCGCCGTGCAAAAGTCAAGAAACCGGTCCGTTGTGCTTAAGTAAGTTCTCTTGAAAAACTGTCATGTGTTTACCTAAGTTATACTAAATGTGATAATAAAATATTGCACCTCTTGTTGAATGTAGATATTAAAGTATAATAATTCAAATTCTACAAGTATTTTATCAAATGTAAATAAAATTTTTCTCCAGAGATTCTGCTTTGAAGAAACTTTTCAAATAAACAAACAACTTGCACAATGGCTTTTTTCGTGGCAAGTGTCAAAGTCACCAGTTCTTTTCATTATATATGCACTTGTGCCGCAAGAACACTGACTACGAGCGCAATGCCGAGTCCTAAGGATGAGGCAAAAGAAGTGATTGTCAATTATTTGGATGGGAAAGATAACGGTATTGCTGTATTAGGATTGAATAGACCTGCCGCTCGTAACTCCTTTGGGAAAACTTTAATTTCTCAGTTGAATGAAGCGCTAACTTCCATCAGGCAGAACAACAAGCTGAGAGTGCTAATTATACGTAGTCTGGTCCCAAAAGTATTTTGCGCAGGGGCGGACTTGCGAGAGAGATTGAAGATGGATAGTTCAGAAGTGCCGCAATTCGTGTCCATTTTGAGAAATCTTGTCACTGACATCGAAGTCCTGCCAACTCCGGTCATATCAGCTATCGACGGCGTGGCGCTGGGTGGAGGATTAGAGCTTGCATTGGCGACTGACATCAGGGTTGCCTCTTCAGAAGCCAAAATGGGCCTTGTAGAAACAAAATTAGCGATAATACCAGGAGCCGGTGGAACGCAGAGACTGCCGAGGGCAGTCGGAATAGCCAAAGCAAAGGAATTGATTTACACAGCACGGATCCTCGACGGTGAACAGGCAATGCAAATAGGTCTCGTAAATAAAGTGGTCCCGCAAAATAAAACCGGCGACGCTGCTTACCAAGCGGCTCTCTCTATCGCGAGAGAAATCTTGCCTAATGGACCCATTGGTGTTAGGTGAGTTCTCCATATCAAAGTATTAAAACTCTAATTGCTCAATGTTGTTAAAAAATTGCATAACAAAAAGTAAAAGTGATGCATAATATATTTTATAAAAAGATACAAAAATAAAAAAATTGTGTAAAAGACTAAAATAAAAATACGAGAATGTACGTTAAAGCAAAAAAACAATAAGAATAGAAAATATAAAAAAAGTAAAGAATAGAGTTTCTTGTAATATCTTATTATTCTGAAAAAAAAAACAAGTATTTAAATCTAGTGAGTTAAACGGTGTGTAAATCTCATCCTGTTGTTCTTAAGCAGGTATTTAATGTGGTGAGTCAAATGCTCTTACTCAGAATGGCTGATACAATCGTTCACTTATTACATAATACACATCACACCACATATTTTTATCTTCTGAATGCAAATAATAAATGTGTTTATCTAACACATTCAAGTTCTACATACAATCTTCATTTTACTGATACAAGACATACAATCTACTCATCTATATAAATTATTTTAATAATTATTTAATAATATTTTTAGATTGGCGAAAGTGGCTGTTTCTAAAGGTATGGAGATGTCTCTAGAAGATGGTTTGAAGATCGAGAAACAATGTTACAACCAACTCGTGGATACAAAGGACAGAACCGAAGGACTTGCCGCTTTTGTGGCGAAGCGTGTACCTATTTATCAAGGAGCATGAATATTTATGGCATTTTTGCAACAATGGCTTAATTCACATATCATGAAATGCATTTTACATGAGCTTTTTGGCACAAGATATATATATTTATGTTTTCTTTAATAGTATAAGTATATTGATTTTTTAATATACATACATATTCTTAACATAGAAATGCGTTTATATTATGAATTACAATTGCAGATATCTAGAAGTAAGAAGTTAATATAAACTTGTTTTATGCAATTGCATAAAACAACAGTGGATATAGCATTAACCTTGTACATTCTGTTATTTACATATGCTAATCAGATAGTCGTTTACATTTTATATCAGCGGTGGAAAAAATTTTGCACGTCGCTGTTATCATCATATCCCAACAAATATTGCAACATTTTTCTTTTTACAATAATATTGTTAATGTTTAACATGGGTTGAATATATGTATAATATATGTCTATGTATAAATGCATTCTAATATGCATGACTGATATATATCAGTCACACACACGCGCGCGCGCGTGTGTGTGTGTGTGTGAGAGAGAGAGAGATTTCTCGGGTAGAATCTATTCCGAACATAAATTGTTATATCGACAATATCGATTTTTTTTATTGAACATTTATATTTCTGTATAACATTGATTATAATAAAACAGTCATAAAAGAGTATATATACAAACATATTTCTAAATAATGCGCGGAAACAGAAATTGTATTTAAAAAAGTTTTAAAATATACTCAAAGACATAACAGTACTAATTCTATTAAGAATGTACTGTGATCAAAAAATTCAAAAAAGAAAAAAAATCAGAGTTGTCCGTACATACCAATGTACATACCAAAGTGAAAGTATAAATTTATCTAGAAAAATACTTCAATTTTAAATTTTTAATATTAGGCGCAATGCATTGAAACACTGAGCTGTTCCTTCTCTCTGTTCTCTTTTACAAGCGTCATAAGAATTTTCAGTTGATTTACAGTGTCTTTGGGACAAGTAACACGGTGTCCTATGGTGAAATTGCTCTCGTAAATCTCGTGATCGTTGCCACCCTCAACCGTTTTGTCACCGAAGAAATGTATCTCGTCATATCCCTGGATATGACGCAAGCAATACGTTTTATCCCAACCAATAGGAAAAACATCAAAAGAGATTTGTCCTCCTTGGAGAAAAAAACAAATAAATAAATATTTATTTGTTCCAAATGTTATATGTAACATTATATAATTCATTCTACTGTATCACATAATATCTCAAAAATCTCATAAGGTATTTGCAATAACAAAATAACAAAACATATACAAAAACAATTTATTTAATTATTAATAATGAAATAATTGACAATATTACTCTAATATAAATTTATTAATTTTATTTTTAATGATTATTAATTGAAGTAATTTCCAATTAAATATAATTTTATTTAAATACCATATCACTCACCAATACTGTACGCCAAAGCCAAATCAGGAAACTCCTTTTTAAGAGCTTGTATGAATTTCTCACGAATATGGTGTTCATTATCGTATTCATAAAATTGTTCACGTTCTTTCTTACTGCAATTGCGTCCTACTGGCGAAATGTTCATCATGCCTGTCCGGAATTCTACAAATGTCCCACGTTTAAATGGCAACTTCAGTTCAGATATATATCGTAAGACAAAATTTAAAAAATCCTGCAAATTATCTTCTCCAAGCATATCTTGAATTGACTAAAATATAAAATATGTTAAACTAGCATTTGTGCATAATTTATTATTGTATTCTTGAGTATAAATTTTCATTACTTACTTGTGATGGCAAAGCTTTGCCGTCTTTAAAAGCAATAAGACCATTTTCTGCAAAAACATACTTGTATTTTTCAAATAGATTTTTACCATCTAGTTGTTCTTGAATCTTGCTTAAATCAGATCCTCCAACTATTGCAATGTCAAATTCTTTTTTCACAGTCTCCAAAAGAAACTTTTCAATCTGGGGATTAATTGGCTACAAAAACCAAGTATACATTTTTCTTATTTACTGATAAAATACAGAATAACATATTAGTTACAATAATGTTAAAAAAGATAATGTTTAATAATAATGTTTAAAAAGATAACATTTTTCAGTATAATTGGAAAAATACAATACCTGTCGTGGTTCAGTAAGTGTACCATCCACATCAAAGAGACAAATGATTTTCTTTGACATAATGCACAATTTTGTTTAACCCAAAAATTCTGAAACACATATTGTCACTTTATATATATAGAAAAATTTATTGACACATGGTCGAATATATAAATACATTGTGTATAATATAAAATAAACAAACACAATTTTAAGATATGAAAGATTTTGGAAAACTAATTTCTTTTTTTATTATAATTAACTTTGAAGTGAATAAAAAATTATCAAAATGAGAAAAAATGAGAAATTACGTGTTAAATGCGTTAAACGGACGAATTAACAATCCTTCCACTCTTTTTTTTAAACTTATAAGGTTATAAGTCAGTTCTTTGTAACTGCTTTTTATATTATGTTATCTGTTCTCAAGATATATATATATATATATATATATATATATATATGTGGAAAGATTGTTGATCTGTCTTTTTAATGCATCTAACACCTTATTTCTTGTTTTCTGATCATTTTTCCTTTATTTCAAAGTTAATCAGTTATAATAAAAAGAAATTTTAAAGTGTTTGTTTATTTAACACAGACTTGTACATATAATTTTATTACTCTTGACTGTCTTCGAAATGTGGAATTGCGATAAGATTACACTGTTTTTGTAGCAAAGAAATATAAGCTTGCACTAAAGTCGTAATTCATGTAAATTCACAAAAGTTAAGAACATGGAACAAGGAAAGAGTACTTATAACCTGTTTGCGGAAATATAATGATATTTCATCCGTGTAAAGGAAATCATTTTGGAGCAATTTGTGCTTCCAAAAATATATAAATAACGACATTTAATCGTGATCCTGCGAGTTACATTTAGAATAAACAAAAAAAATAAAATAGAAATAAACTGTATATATATAATAACTAGTTTAAGGGTCGACAAGAGTCATAGACATAGTAAGTATAGACTACTCATGACATTTGCAGAGTGTCGAGAATTTAGAAAGAGTAAAAAGACTTTGAATAGAATTCTTTTCTCTGTCACATATAGTCCTCCTAATCGAGTTGAAAAGAAATAGCGATTTTATTGAAATTGTGCTCTGTACGCGCTTCACTTGAGCCTTGTGTCCACGATACTAGAACTCGGTCCGAGATCTCGGACCGAGGGAAAGTTACTAAAACTCGGATCATGTACACACTGAATTTGGATGCAAAACTCGAATAAAGCCTTGTGTCCACGATGCTAGAACTCAATCCGAGATCTCGGTCCGAGTCCTCGAACAATAATGGGCCTGTTCGTTTTAACTGCACTGGGGCAGCTCTGGGTTTGCTCTAAACAAGATAATACAGGACAAACTATTTATCTGTCCTGTATTATTCTGTGTAGAGCAGACCCAGAGCAGCCCCAGTGTAGCTAAAACGAACAAGCCCAATATTTATACTTGGCTGAATATAGTTAGCGTTGTAATCGAGTTACGATTCTTTACGATGATTTTCTGATCTATGTTATATTGCCAAGTTGGTTTATAGATATCATCAAGTGATGCACCGCTTGATTTCGAATGTTTTATTTTATTTAGATGGTCCAGATATTGTGATCTTTAATTATTAATTTTTTTTTGTCAATTTCAGTTGTTAGTGGTTGTCCTGTTAATTCTTTGTACTGATTACAGATTATCTGTAAAGCTTGATCTCGTTTTATACGATTATGATAATCAACACTTTTTGTAACATATAAACAAGAATGTTGTTGATATAACATTAATAAAATTTTAACATTTTCCTTATTATCCATATTTTTATTATTA